ACAATTCATTCAGAGTCTTCAAGTACCTTCACGGAAATGCAAAATTCTTGGATTTCCAACTGCAAATTATCCGCCAGATATTGGACAAATTTGGACTGAAGAAAACCATTGTTCAGGTACCATCGCGAGATTTGCAGCGCTTAGGGGGCCGTCATTTTCCTGAATATAATTCAAGTACAAAAGGAAAGACTCATGGCTCCAGAAAATGTCATTTGTGCGGAATGAAGGATGTCACGGGTGGCAAACGTAAGGAGACTAGGTTTCAGTGTGATACGTGTCTTGTTCCGTTGTGCATTATTCCATGTTTTAAACTGTATCACACGCGTAAAAATTTATAAGTTAATTGGTTGATTCATAAATTGTTGCTAAATTTTCTTAGTTAGTTTTATGAATTTAATGTTACACGCTCAAATGTTCATAAATAAAATGTAAAATTAAAAGTTCGCATTAAAACAATATGACTAAGTTAGTAGAAATATTTTTCTATTGAAAAAATTAAAAAATTCCATGAAAAAGTCCTCCCGCATTGAGGGCAAAGTTGACCCTGTTTCCTCCCCGCAGTAAAATATAGCGACTTAATTTACATCTCCGCATCAAAGATAAGGATGCTTAGAAACAACTTCCAGTTTAAAGCAAATTCATGTATCCAAGTCCACGAATTAAAGGGTTAAAAAACCGCAACTTTTATAGCAATTTTCGCTAATTAGAAACATATCTGTACACAAATTTAGTTTTCATTCAAAGTTTTCAGTCATCCCGATTTCTGACTGAAGATTTTCATTCACGTTCAGCAATTGTCTTCCAAGTGCATTTCATTTCACTTCATCTGACTTCATTTCTTATTTCGCCCCATGTATGAAGCATAGGGTGAAAAATGAAATGAATGAGAAATCCTTTCATTCACAATCATTCATCTGAAATGACAAAATCTTGCACTCATTCAAATGACAGAATTTTCATTTCCATTCAGTATCACTCAAACGAATGAAAGTGGTCAGGTATGATTAGAAATCGGCATTTCACGTTTTCCCAATTTTTTTCAAATTTCAGAAATTACTTCTAATTCAAAAATAATTCTCAGATTTCGAATAATAATTTTGATCTACGAAAAACCAGTATCTCGTCGTACTAATTCTATAAAGACCGAAGTGCAGTCGATAGTTAATTTTATAAAGACCGAAGTGCAGTCAATGCTTAATTTTATAAAGACCGAAGTGCAGTCACTTATTAATTTTAAAAAGACCTAACTGCACAATAAAAACGAGAAAAAGACCTAACTGCAATTCCAGAATTATAACGAGTTAATTGCTTATTCGAACTTGTATTTTAAACTGAAATACGAATACTTTACCAAAATGAGGCTAGTCCTGATATAATTTCAAAATTTGAAACCCACACCCTCAGGGGGTGTGGTTCTTGGCGCCTTAACTAGGTTAAAAAAATCCTGGTAATTAATATATCATTTTTCTCAGCCCAATCATGGAATTCCAAGGGAATATTCTGATCAAAAAACCACACCCAAAGGGGGTGTGGCTCTTGGCGCCTATTTTGTATTAAATAAAATATTACATGCAATATATCATTTTTCTCAGCTCCATGAGGCAATTTCAACAGAAGATTCCAAATTTAAAAACCACACCCAAAGTGGGTGTGGTTCTAAATTTAGCCAAACTAACAGGACATGTTTTCGACGTTGGTCACCTTTGGCGTTGTCCACATCGACACTGAAGTGTCAAAAGTATAAACGGGTGTTATGTTCCTGTTTTGCGTTGAAAATCCGTTAAAATTAATATGTTTGACGCGTTTTCTCATTTTACCCCAATTCCACACCCGCTAGGGGGGAAATGGGCGTGGCAATTATTTCATATTGGCTTATAGTTTTTATTACCGAAAGTGGATTTAAAAAATATTTAGCCGCTCAAAGGTATCATTTATTTTCTCATTTTGTTTTTGGCACACCCCTTGGCCGCGCCCTTCGAGATTAATCACTTTGGAATACTTTACTTATCATAGGTTACCTGTAGTAATGGGCATGCTAAGACAGAAAAAAATAATCCGAAGACTGTCCTGACCACACCCACTATGTTTAAGTTTAAGGGGAATGGTCTGGCACGCCTGTCTTCGAAGTTAACCTTTGCTTTTACGTGAAATGTTTATGTTCGAAATTTCGAGCGAATATCTCCATCCGTTCTTAAGTTATTGCGCGGGCAGACAGACGGACATATCAATCTTATAAAGGGGTTTCACCCAGTAATGATGGACACTACACTTTACAACTTTACATATGTGGAACCATCTTTCAAGACATACCTATGTTTTCTTCCCCTGGAAGGAAAGGGAGAGAAAAATAACCGAGGACTTACCGTCAAGGGTTTTCTTCGAAGGGGCCATTCAGCGGAATGATAAATGGTTTTTAAATTTGGAATCTTCTGTTGAAATTGCCTCATTGCGCTGAGAAAAATGATACATTGCATGTAATATTTTATTTAGTTCAAAATATGCTCCCAGAACCACACCCCCTTTGGGTGTGGTTTTTTGATCAGAATATTCCCTTGGAATTCCATGATTGGGCTAAGAAAAATGATATATTAATTACCAGGATTTTTTTAACCTAGTTAAGACGCCAAGAACCACACCCCCTGAGGGTGTAGGTTTCAAATTTTGAAATTATATCAGGACTAGCCTCATTTTGGTAAAGCATTCGTATTTCAGTTTAAAATACAAGTTCGAATAAGCAATTAACTCGTTATAATTCTGGAATTGCAGTTAGGTCTTTTTCTCGTTTTTATTGTGCAGTTAGGTCTTTTTAAAATTAATAAGTGACTGCACTTCGGTCTTTATAAAATTAAGCATTGACTGCACTTCGGTCTTTATAAAATTAGTACGACGATCTATAATTTCAACGAGTTCATGCTCAATATTGACAAAAATGTTGAGATTATTTGTGTAATTGGAAAATAATAATTTTAGCAAAATTCATTAAATTATAAATCATTATTGATTATTACAAAAAGCAATTTACCTTTTCTAAATTTTTTGAATTTTTCCTTGATTCAAAATTAGTTTCAACTGCAAAATCTAATATTTTAAATTATTGATCAATGTTGACAAAACTTAGAGTGTGACGTATAATGTTAACAATTTCGTTGTAATTCAGGAATAATTATTTTTGAGTTTTTAAATTTAGTCACATTCATACTAAAAACACGTAATTTTTATAGCAATTATTGGTAACTACAAAAGGAAATTTTACGTTTTCGGAATTTTTAAATTTTTGAAATTTACATGTATTTAAAAAAATAAACTTTCGCTCACGAAAATTTGCGTAGATTTACATTTCATCTATTATTTCATCATATGAATCCTCAACATTGACAAAAATTTATTGATGGATTGACTTCAATTTCAAAAATAAGGCATGTCACATTTTCAGAATTTTGTAAACTTAGTTAATTTTCAAAAAATTATTTCCGCCTAAGAAAAGTCTACATAATATATATTCCATCTAATATTTCAAATTATTGCTTAATATGAGCAAAAATTTTGTGTCGCGCTTAAAATCAACATTAATTTGAAAAATTCCGTTGTAATTGACAACTAAAAAAAAATTTTAGTTTAAAATTCAAAAAACACGTTAACAATTAGTGAAGGGCTAGGTTTTAACTACGTTAGATTTGAAAGTTTATACTATCTTGGGGTGAGCATACCTGTTTACTTTCATTCATTTGACTGATTATGAAGGTGAATGATAGTGAATGCTAATGAATTTCCTGTGATTTGAGTGAAAATCACTGAAGGATTCCGTCATTTCAGATGAATGACTGTGAATGAAAGGATTTTTCACTCATTTCATTTTTCACCCTATGCTTAATACATGAGGCGAAGTAAGAAATGAAGTCAAATGAAGTGAAATGAAATGAGTTTAAAGTAAAATAGCTGAATATGAATGAAAATCTTCAATCAGAAATCGGGATGATTGAACTTTGAATAAAAAAAGTTTTTTTGAACAGGTAATATTTGTGATCGATTGACGCTAGTTTGGTTCAAATCTAACAAGGGACACTCACGACCTGTCGTTTGAGTCCAGGGTACCCACTATGTTTTTTAGAATCTACTAGGACCCCTGATGAAGGATTCCTTCATATTTCCGTGTAAAACTCATATTTGGCGCCATGGCGTGGCGCTAAACTTAAAAATTTGCATTTTCGACCAATTTCAAACCCTCATAACTTTTGCAGTTTATGTCGGATTTTAAAAATTTTATGCTTAAAATGATCACAAAAGTCGAAATTTTAGAGAAAAAAATAAAAATAAAAAATTTTAATTTTTGAGATATTTTAAGCATTTTTTCGACGAACCCAAAATTTCGAAATTTTGCGAAAAGTTAAAAGCGATAATTTTGGAAAAAATTTCATAGAATACGAAAGTTGAACTCCTTGTCATGATTTTTGCCAAAAATTTTGAAAATCCGTCCAGGATTTCAAAAGTTATGGCGGTTTTAAAATGTAAAACCATCAAATTTGGCGTATTTGGCGCCACGGCACGGCGCCAAATATGAGTTTTACACGGAAATATGAATGAACCCTTCATCTGGGGTCCTAGTAGATTCTAAAAAAACATAGTGGGTACCCTGGACTCAGACGACAGGTCGTGAGTGTCCCTTGTGAGCAAACGTTGGGAGACCTCCATTGTTAGTTTACAATAAAAATTTGAGTACAATATGTAAAATGAAGTAAAGTTGAGATATATAACGAGGCAAGATGAGACTATGTATGATCTTTGATTCCAATTAGACCTAGATTTTATTACTGATTGCAAAAATAAAGTTAAACGTGCAAAACGGCGTCACGAGTATGCAAATAAACACATAAAATACAATCCACGTTGTTTTGCCACTTTACAAAGTTCACGGTGAACTGGAATTTCATGGAATAATTAATTAAGCACATTTGATTTTAGTAAACCGGTCCAAGTCTGGAAGTCAAACTCATTCCATTAATTCTACGAATGGACGATACAGTTCTTCTTATCAAAAAATAATTAAGTCTTCTCGGAAATAAAAATATCTGCATAATTTCCTTAAAAAATGGATATATTTCCATTTGTACAAGTTTCTGCGAACCAGAAAGACAGCAAATTCTCCCAAATTCTCGCCGTTTTGCTGGAACGCCTGCCAAAATCTTGCTTTGTAAGTAAAAACGAGTTTATTATTTTCGTGTAAAATTATTATAACAATTTTGCAAATATCTTTTTTCGCGAATCTAATCTCATAAATATTTGCATATTTACTCACATAGGTTTACAACGCGGTCAAAATATCGCCCCGATTTCCGAACCACTCAAAATTATTCTACGTCAATCTACCCGGTGGTGACAATAATAATTCAATTTCTTCTACTTCTTGGATCTTTGTCACCCATTTTACTGAGGTCTGTACACTCTCATTTTCTATAAAATGGAAGTCTCCCAGCGCATGTTCTCCGATTTTGAACAAATTAGTGCAAATTTAATTGGGATGAAATTTGCAAACGACACGACCTCCCAATGGGCACGTTTGGCAGAAATATTTGCATCCCAAGAGGAAAAAACGCGTCCTAAAGTCCACAAATTTTACACGTCCGAATTTCCGAATTTACTCTGCATTTTACCCTCTTCGGATGCAAATATCTCTGACAAACGTGCCCATTGGGAGTTCGCACTAGTACTAGTTAGTACAATTAGTACTAGTTGGGCAGAGATATTTGCATCCGAAAACTTGTAGTAAATTTGGAAAGTGTAAAATTTGTCGACTTTAACTCACATTTTCTTCTCTCCGGATGCAAATGTCTGCTAAATGTGCTCATTGGGAGATCGGATCTTTCGCAAATTTCACCCTAATCAAATTTGCGATCGATTGACAACAATTTGCTAAAAATTGGACAGCATACGCAGCGAGACCTCCATTATGAGTCTCAATTTTCGAAATAAAAAAACTACCATATTTTTGCATGTTTATAATTAGGACCACGGTCAGAACATCTTAATTTCCTCCCCACTTCGACCACAAGATGCGCCTTTTTCCCCCTCGGAGAAAGCCGTCCTTGTCAAACTCTTATCGCCCAGCGTTATCTTCGCGTGGGACGAGCCACACTGGTTCGTCGGCCTGGACATTCCTGTAGGACGACTCATAACTGAAATCTGTGTCGAGGAGAAAGGTCAAGTCATCGAGATCCAGCCGGACACCTTGATGTACATGGATTTCAGAGATGAAGAAGTGCTGCCCGTTCTGGACAAGGATTTAACAACGGAAGCAGAGTTAGTACTTAATACTTCGAAATTAAATCCACGCAAGACTTGATGACGTATCACCAAATTCGTAAAAATCTCCACATTTTGCAATTAATATTATAGTATAGTATTTATTGATATACGGCCTGCAGCCCTGATCAACATGTCATCATTGATTATTACAAAACATCATTACATTAATAAGTCATAAAAATTGAATACGTCAATCCAATAGCAAAATACAGATTTAAAAAAGTTGCGATTTGTTATGTTATCGTTGTCATTATACATCTCACAATGGAGGTCTCCCAACGTATGCTCACAGATCTGAACCAAACTAGCGTCAATCGATCACAAATATAATTAGTATGAAATTTGCAAATGGAACTATCTGCCAATGCGCAGGTTTGGCGGAGATATTTGCATAAAAAGAGGAGAAAACCCACTCAAATGCAGGGAAATTTTTCAATTTCCAAATTTGCTGCGCATTTTTCCCGCTTTGGATGCAAATATCTCCGCTAGACTTGAGCACTGGCAGATAGTACCATTTGCAAATTTCATACTAATTATATTTGTGATCGATTGACGCTAGTTTGGTCCAGATCTGTGAGCATACGTTGGGAGACCTCCATTGTCAGTGAAGGTAGTAAAATCTTGGGTATACGTACACAAATGTTTAATTCTGCTAGGGGTAAGAATTTTGCAGTGTAAAGTAAGGTGGTCAACGGTGGCGTCAGACTCGGAAGTGCAGAATGGACACTTCGTGGTGATTATTATTTTTCGATCACCCAATTTTATGGAGTATAGTCCATTTTGCAATTAATTATGCCCACACTTGATTGACACGTACATAGTTTTAGCTATGCTTGTAGAAAATTTAGATTGGTATAGTCAATTGCATGCTTTAAGCTCATATGCTACGGGTATTTGAACCATATTTGGAATCGAATATGGTGATTTATTAACTTTTTAGCATGCAAATCGCATTAACGAAATATGTACCTATGTTGTATTTCCGATGTGAGAACAAACGCAGTTTGAGAAGCAATAACATTACCAACACCACCAAGAGGAGAGAATAATCTGTATTCTTCATCAATTAAATTCCACTGTGTCTCTGAATTATTTATTGCTTGAAAGCAGTCAAGATTCTCCAAGATTCTCATTTTTGATCATTTCTCGTCTCTAAATCATAAGTCATACAGGAAAATGTAATCAGAAATTCATCAATACCAACTTCAATATCAGAAAAGTATTATCTGACATTCTTTGAGGAATATAATACTTTTTCCAAAATACTACATTCGTCCTTTGACTTATTCAAGAATAATTAAATTTAATTACTTAAATTGAATTAATTAAATTGAATTACTTAAATTGAATTAATTAAACTTTAATAATTTGGATTAATCCAGTAAATTTTTAATCATTTCCCATCTCTGGGAATTTATTTTAAAATTTTGGAGGACAAATTTGCAGTCAGTGAGTTGCTTAAAGGAATGGCGTTGAGTTTTTTGAGCCAGTTTCGACGAGTTCCAATTTTTCTGAAGGTTTCTTAAACTTGAGATCTCCTCCTTTAAAAAGTGTCAAAATCTGAAGTGGATATTTCTTAAAAAATTGGGAACGACCTAACTTCTAACAAAGAATTAGCTTGCAAAATATTATGAAAACATACGCTCCTTATGCCTTGATTGCATTTTTATTAATTTGTATTTTATTCTATCTTCCTCCACCTTCAACATCACGGAGTGACACAGTAGGTTCCGCCCAGGAGCCGGAGACATCTGCCTGACTTAAAATAAAAAACTAAAAGTACCTCGTGCACCTCGCATACCACTTCTTCCTCACAGTTCTTTCAGGCAGCAAAGGAGACGGATGCCGTGAAGAAGATTCTTAATTATTTTTTGAATCTTGTATTTAACCCACACCTCGTCGTTGACCTGCACTTTGTTTGACCTGCACCAACCGGTTCGGCACAGGGTAAGTAAGGATTTTGCTTATTACTGGGGGAGTTGGAGGTAGAAGAGAGAAAATAGGAAAAGACTTATAGGTAGCTTTTTTATTTGAAGTCCAGACTATTAAATTCATTATTTGCTCGCCTAGAGAATATCTAAAGTACTCGCAGACACTCTGAATGAGTGACGAGCTCTGTGGTGACCTTGTTGAGGCCCACGCATCGGAACTTTTCAATAGAATCACAATTTATTTTCACATTTTGTAGATGAGCAATAATAATGCAAATGCTGCTGCGCCCCCACAAGTGCCCTCCTGGTCCTTAGGACTCTCAGACGAAGAGGAGGATGAGAACAATCATGACGATGGTGGCTTGAATGTTAACGGGATAATTGGAACAGATACAGGGGATAGTGATAGAGATGAAGATCCTATCATTCAAAATATTTTACAAGATTGTCAAAAGGAGGTCGAATATGGCCCAGATTTGTTATCGATTCCAGCCGTACGCAAGAACACCTTCTTCCACTTTTACATCAAGCTCGGCGAATTTAAACTTCAATCGCCCGTTCTCCAATTATCATCAACGGGGGAATGGGCAGCCTCGATTTCGCCCGAACTTCAGCCAGAGTCAGCATCGACCTCGATTTCAACAAGCGTCGAACCGATTTCAACGGCGATAAGTAGAGATAGGTCAATGGTATGTTATCAAGCAGGAATATTGTCAAATTACATTAATGAGTGGCGTAAAATTACTAAAGATAATAGTATATTAGAGGCTATAGTAGGGTACAAGCTCCCATTTAAAGAGATTCCTTTTCAATTGACAGAACCAAGTGGTACTAAACTTTCGGAAACTGAGGTCAGATTAGTTGATGAAACAATCAGGAAATTAATGTTAACGGAGGCAATTTCAGAAGTATGTGATGAGCCTGGGCAATTCATTTCTAGTATTTTCACGGTAGCGAAACCTGATGGTTCTCGTAGACCAATTATTAATTTAAAAAAGTTGAATGATTATTTAGACTGTCCTCACTTTAAAATGGAAAATATAAAAACAGCTTCGCAGCTTGTTTCGCAAGGTTCATATATGTGTGTCGTTGACCTTAAAGAAGCTTATCATGCCATCCCTATAGCAGCAGATCATAGGAAATTTCTTAAATTTAGATGGCGAGGGAAACTTTACAAATATAATTGCATTCCTTATGGGCTCTGTACAGCCGCACTATTATACACAAAGTTATTAAAGCCAGTAATCTCTCTTTTCAGGGCGACAGGTATTTTGTGCGTTTATTATCTAGACGATTTGTTAATTATTGGCTCATCTTACTCGGACTGCATGAAACATTTAAACTTTATATCCAATTTTCTAGAAACGCTAGGGTTTACAATAAATAAGGGAAAATCTCAATTGATCCCATCGCAAAGAGTCAAATATTTAGGTTTTCTAATTGACTCAATTATCATGAGGCTTATTTTACCATCCGATAAGGTAGCTCGAATCATAACTAAATGCAAGGAAGTTTTAGCGACCAATCAAATTAAAATTCAGACTGTTGCTGAGTTGGCAGGATGGCTTATCTCGGCTTGTCCAGCGACTAGGTATGGGTTTCTGTATACAAGAAGTTTGGAAATTGATAAAACTCGCAGTCTGTTGCATAGTAAGGGTAATTATTCTTCAAAAATGTCTATCATCCATGAAACAAGATTAGATTTAGAGTGGTGGATAAGTAATATTGGTTCAGAATGGCAATATTTACAAAAACCAGTACCAATATTTAAGATAACTTCCGACGCGTCTCTGTCAGGATGGGGTGCTCATTGTGGTGAACTGAGGGCAAAAGGTCGATGGGCGACCGAGCATATCGATTTGCACATAAATGTTCTTGAACTATGGGGTGCTTTTTATGCTTTAAAATCATTTGTTAATAAAACTAACGTGCATGTATTAATTAGAGTAGACAGCTCAACTGCAATGGCCTACATTAACAGGCAAGGAGGCTGCAAGTCAACTCAGTGTTTCTCAGTAGCAAAATTGATATGGCAGTGGTGCGAAAATAGAGGCATAATAATCACCGCAACTTGGATTAATACGAAGGAAAATTATACTGCTGATAAATTGTCTAGAGCAGAGAAAGATGCTTCCGATTTCATGCTAGGTACTAATTATTTTACAAAATTAACTAAAAAGTTTGGCTGCCCGAATATGGACTTGTTTGCATCATATCAAACTAAACAATGCAATGAGTTCTATTCTTGGAAACCTGATCCATTTTCTATAGGGGTAGATGCATTTACTTATGAATGGGAGGATGGTTTTTATGCATTTCCTCCATTTAACATGATAGGTCGTGTTATTAACAAAATCATTCAAGATAAATGTGAAGGTATTGTGGTAGCGCCCATGTGGCCAACTCAGGCTTGGTTTCCATTATACCAAAAAATAGCCAAATCGAATATTATTGAACTAGGCCCTAACAAAAATTTATTGTTTGACCCTTACTCCAGGAAACCTCATCAAATCAATTCCAAACTAAAACTAATGGCAGCAGTATTGTCTGGAAGGCCTTAAATAAGTTGAATTTGCCCGCAGATACTTTACAAATTATGGAAGCATCAAAGTCAAAGGGAACCTGGGCGCAGTACGAATCAGTCTTGAAGAAATGGGAATCTTTTTGCAATTTAAGCAATTTTTCAATGTGGGATGGAAATGTGAATAATGTCCTTCGGTTTCTTACATATTTATTTAATCAGAATCTAAGTTATTCAGTTATAAATACCGCTAGATCCACTTTGTCTACAATGTTCGGAAATGTCGATGGGGCCCCATTAGGTGTACATAGATTAGTTGTAAATTTTATGAAGGGAGTGAGCAGATTGAGGCCTCCAGCTCCGAGATATCATATTACCTGGGACCCCGATAAAGTTTTAAGGTTATTATCGTCGTGGTGTACGGACGAATGTAATCTTAAACAATTGTCATTCAAATTAATTGCGTTATTAGCCTTAGCCACAGGGCAAAGAGTTCAAACCTTGAGTTCGATTGAAATATCTAATATTGTCTGGGATGACAGCATTCAAATTAAATTAACAGGTAGCCTTAAGACAACTAGTGTAACAAGAAGTAATCCTATTCTGATTTTACCACCCTTCCATGATAAAAATTTATGCCCCGTATATTCCTTAAAGAAATACGCTAAATTAACTGAATTGTTAAGAAATAATGAACCTAAGTTATTTATTAGTTATGTAAAACCTCACAAAGTTGTTTCTTCTCAGTCAGTAAGTAGATGGCTAGTAGATGTATTAGATTTAGCTGGTATTGACACCAAACTTTTTCATGCACATAGTTATAGACATGCCTCCACTTCGAAGGCTGCTGCGGTTGGTGTAAATATTGATACCATATTTAGCAGAGCTGGGTGGACACCCGGATCTAAAACTTTTGCCAAATTTTATAATAGGCCAACTAGTAATGTCAGTGAATTTTCTGAGAAAGTCCTTGAAATTAGAAAATAATAACATACATTTACATAAATATTAATGATAATTAATAATGTTTTATTTAACTATGATGATGATGATTGTCCTATAAATAAATATATATAACTAGCCACTAATGACTGGTGTTTTTGGTTAAAATTATTTCCTCATCAACTTGACTTTAAAAGTCTACTGTGTCACTCCGTGATGTTGAAGGTGGAGGAAGATAGAATAAAATTGGAGATTTTGCGAGGCCGAAGGCCGAAGCAAAATCGGAATTTTGTAATATCTTCAGACATCACGGACCCTCCAACCCACCCCCAGTAAATTACAAGTTGATTCGGCTTTGAAAACTGTGAGGAAGAAGTGGTATGCGAGGTGCACGAGGTACTTTTAGTTTTTTATTTTAAGTCCGGCAGATGTCTCCGGCTCCTGGGCGGAACCTACTGTGTCACTCCGTGATGTCTTCCGGTTACGGAAGATATTACAAAATTCCGATTTTGCTTCGGCCTTCGGCCTCCCAAAATCTCCAATTTTATTGATACCGTCAACAGGAAACATTCTGAATTTCTCATCAAATCCCTCAACGTTTCCGACGGGACGGAATTCATTTCCAAAAGTTGGAAATATTCAAAACCCGACGTGACCAATCTCTCGGTGGAACGATTCCTCCAAGAAAACGAGTCCGGTGGGGTGTACCTTACCGGAAGTGACGAAACGCCCGTGAGCGGGATCATCCTGCATGCCTTCGGTCTCCTCAGGTTCGTTCTGTGGCTTCAATTTTTCTCAATTTTCTAATGTTTCTTATTTTTGTAGTTTCCTAAATTTTCAATTTTCTAAATTTTCTGAATTTTACGTATAAATTTCTAAATTTTGCCTGTATGTTTTTAAATTTTGGGAATAAATTCTCTAAATTTTGTCTATAAATTTTCTAGGTTTCGCGTATAAATTTTCTAAATTTTGCGAATAAATTTTATAAATTTTGCGTATAAATTTCTAAATTTTGCGTATATATAAATTTTCTCAATTTTCCGTATAAATTTCTAAATTTTGCGTATATATAAATTTTCTAAATTTTTTGTATAAATTTCTAAATTTTGCGTATATATAAATTTTCTCAATTTTGCGTATAAATTTCTAAATTTTGCGTATATATAAATTTTCGAATTCTTTATTCAGCATGCTCTACACTTCGGAGGGTGAACGGGGCAAAGGTCTTGCCAAGCTTGCCATCAAATGGGCGTCACGAGAAATGATCAAATCCGACCTATTTCCAGCCTCTTCGATTCAAAGTTTGAATCAGGCGTCGCTCCGAACTCATGAAAAAATCGGGTTTAAAAATGCCGGGTCGTTGTACTGGATCGTGTATGCGCCTCATTAACAATTAATGAATCAATTAATTGGTAGTTAATTATTATTAATTAATTATTAATTCCTGCAAATTCATAATTTCGTGTTACATAAAAAATAAAAATTTCTTAAATGAAATAGAATGGAATATCATAAATAATTAAATAATTAATAGTTAATTAATTATTATCCTGGGTTATGAATAATTTTTGGAAGTTCATAATTTCGAGTTTAAAATTATTTCTAAAAATTTCCTCGTATTTTATGAACAATTATGATTCTGTTATTAATATGAGAAATAAAGGTTGCAATTTCTAAAATGATTTGAACAATTTAAAAAATTGTAAATCTTAAGAAGAAAAATGTCAGAAAACTTACTTTTGAATATAATAAAATAAATTTAGTATTTTGCAGAAATTTAATTTATGAATATGGAAATATTTTAGGTTAAAAAAATATATGTATACATGAAAATGGATTTATGGAGCCGGTATCATATCACCTGCTAAAAACTCGCATAAAATATGTACCCGTGCAAAATAAATAACCAGAATTACGTGTGATTGGGTCCAATCCGGCATAATTTTTGCAACTTAACTCAAAATAAGGTAGTAATGAATCAATACCATGGCGAATCACTACATGTCCTACCACGTCAGTTACGATTTGTCGTAGAACTGGTAATAAGTTCAGGGAAATTCAAATTCATTACCAAATATTAAGGAAGTGAATACCATTATGTATCAAATTTGAATTTCCCTGAACTTATTATTACCATTTCTACGACAAATCGTAACCGACGTGGTAGAGACATATAGTGATTCCGCATGGTGATGATTCATTACTACCTTATTTTGAGTGTTCAAGGTTAACTGGGTTGGATTTACATCATAAAATAAATTCCATTCCATCAGTAAAACCGGTCGACAAAAGTCCGTGACAATTCCACATTTTGAGACAAACCAGTGGAATGAGCTGCCAAAATTCTTGTTAAAGTTTCGCACAAAATTTATTTACAAAACGTCTCCCCTCGAAATGACTACCCCCGAAATTCCCCCCTTTGTCCAAGTTCCCAGTGGGGACGGGCAGAGTGACGAAATTAAAACAATTCTCACCATTTTAGAAAAAAGATTGCCAAAATCGTGTTTCGTAAGTGAAACATAAATTTTGCATGGGATTTTCTAAAAGTTTTAAATTTCCTTCTTTGTCATTTGCTAAATTTCAAATGTTCTTAATTTTCAAAATTTTGCATGTAAATTTTCTAAATGTTTTAATTTTCTAAATATTCGTGAACCTCTTGTTTCTCAATTTTGCTAAGGAGGAGAGTACGCCAACCAGATAATGACAGATCTTGATGTCCTTTGGATATATGGTAGTACCCCCTCTGAAAGTAAAAAGTGTGAAGCGGTTTGATGCCATGGCCCAATTTACGCCCGTCACACCCCTTTGAAGGCACGCCCGATGCCAAACTAACTGCACTAAAAAATTCGCCAAAAATCCAATTTTGTTCGGATTTTCATAATAGTTACATATTTATGATCCCAAATAGTTAAGGTAATATAGTCTACGTCTATGTCACCACCACATCTCCTGGCATTAAAAAAATGATGACGAAAGCACATAGGTGGCGGTGGCACCCCGATTTGTGCACCAGAACACACCATTCTGAGCTGCGTCTGTACAAATTTGATGCTCTACGAGGGTGTGCACAAATGGGGGTGCCACCGCCACCTATGTGCTTTCGTCATCATTTTTTGATGCCAGGAGATGTGGTGGTGATGCGGAGGTGCCATCCCCCAGGTGGGCCAAATGTACACCGAGTTATTTGGTTGGCTCTCCCGTTCCTCCATAAGCGTCACTCGAATACATAAGATCGATTCTTCTGGTAGAATCTATATTCTGTGCCATCCACCCAAAAGAGCTTTGGATCAAGCAAGTCCGACGTCGAAAAAAGGGGGTCCAGGCACGACGTCCAAAAATTATATTAGCCGAGAAGCCGAATTATCCTATTATTTTACACCAGTTTATTTTATTTTGACGTAGAAGTCATTCAATTACCCAAATTCTTGACACGAATTGAATAATTTGAACGCCAAAATAAAATAAGCTGGTGTTAAATAATAGAATAATTCGGCTGACTCGGCTAATATAATTCTTGGACGTCGTGCCTGGACGCCGTTTTTCGACGTCGGACTTGCTTGATCCAAAGCTCTTTTGGGTGGATGGAGAGTCTGAAAGCAATAGTACGCATGTGAAAAACCGGTCGAAAAAAGTCTGTCACAATGAAAATGCCACATTCTTGGATACTACACGAACCAGTGAGTTCAAAATTCTGACCAAAAGTTTCCCATAAAATTTATTCAAGTAATTGCAAAGTTTCTTTCCACTGATCTTGAGAAATGGCTACCCACGAAATTCCCCCCTTTGTCCAAGTGCCCAGTGGGGACGGTCAGAGTGACGAAATTAAAACAATTATCACCATTCTAGAAAAAAGTTTGCCAAAATCGTGTGTTGTAAGAGGAACATAAATTTTGCACGTAATTTCATAAATTTAATTTTAACGTTTTGCAATTTGCTAAATTTCAAATTTTAAGATTTGAATCGAATTGCGAATTCTCAATTCTCAATTTTTCATGTAAATTTTCTAGGTATCTTAATTTCCTAAATGTTCTAAAAAAATTTCTAAACTTTGCTCGTCAATTTGAAATATTATATTTTAAAGTTTATTTTTCTAAAATTTCGTAAAGTTTCATTTCCTAAATTTCCTAAATTTCCTAACAGATTTACAACGCTGTCAAAATGGCTCCTCGATTTCCTCATCACACGAAAATATTTTACATGAATCCGAAATCTTCCTGTGCTCGGACGGAAGTTCACTCACATTCTTGGATCCTCTTAACCCACGCGACTGAAGTAATCAATTTACATATTTATTTAATTAATTAAATGCTAATCAACTGATAATCCCCTTATCTACCTCCATCCGTCAGGATCACGGCCAAAAAGTTCGAATTTCATCGCCATCCTCGCACAAATATTCGTCCCTCGAGAAGGCCGGCCTTGTCGAAACGTTCGCCTCGAGTACGGCCTTCAACTGGGAAGAACCCCACTGGTTCGACGCCCTGGACGCCTACGTGACCCGAATTATCACCAAGGTCAGCACAGAGGTCAAATTGCGCCACTTCATATTACTCTTTTTTCTGCGAATAATTTATTTCTTTTTTGGCACAAAGTCGCCAAATATTTTGACTTATAATTAATCTTATTTTTAAAAATTTACGATATCAATATTATGTATGGAACCATTCATTATGTGCAAAGTCTGGCTGCTATGATTATACCTGTTCAAAAAACTTTTTTCATTCAAAGTTCAGTCATCCCGATTTCAGACTGAAGATTTTCATTCACATTCAGTCATTTTCGTTCAAATTCATTTCATTTCACTTCATCTTGATCGAACTTCATTTCCTACTTCGTCCCATCTATTGAGCATAGGGTGACAAATTAAAGGATTGAGAAATCCTTTCATTCACTGTTGCCCATCTGAAATGACTAATCCTTCACTCATTTTCATTCAAATGACAGGAATTTCATTCTTATTCACTATAATTCTATATCATAATTAGTTACATGAATGAAAGTGAACAGGTATGGCTATGATGCAATAAAGCAACTATTAATAATTAGGTCAGCACCGAGGTCAAATGTCACAACATCGAAACCTACCCGTACACCCTAATGTACATGGAAAAAAATGATGATGATCACGCCATGGAGAAAAAGCTTCAGAGTGAGCTGGACGAGGCGGAACGGTAATAAAATTAGGTTGATAGAACAATTCAAACTCAAATTCAAACTCGCATACAATGCCACCTTAAGTTCTTACCAAAAAAATGGACATAAGTTTAATTAGTATTGTGAACTTTGCCACCCAACAATTGCCACCCACCAATTGTCACTCGACAATTCCCGATCTATTCCCAAATTCCCACCCTTGCATTGTCTGTGTGGCATGAACTGACCCTTCAAATAATACCACCTCACACAGATATGCAGGGTGAAAATTTGCATAGAACGGGAATTAATAAATGTAAATTAATGGATGGCAATTGTTAAGGGAAAATTAGTCGGTGGCAATTGGTGGGTGGGAATTAACACCTTAATTTTGTGTAACATTTATCCTCAGAAGTCATCCCACCCTCGAAATTAAACCGTTAGACGTCTCCCACGGGACACAGTTTATTTCCTCCACGTGGACCTACGCCACACCCAAGACGCACCTCCCCGTGGCCAGAATTTTGCAAAAAAATCCATCCGGTGGGGTTCACCTTGCCGGAAGTGAGGCGCCCCCCGTGAGTGGCATCCTACTCCATGCGGACGGCTTTCTCAGCATGCTCTATGTTTTTAATCGTAAATAAATTCCTAAGAGGTGCGTGAGTTGTAAATTCACGTTAGTTAATTATGAGTGTGTGTTTGTCGAGTGTAGCGCAACTTGAATTACTGTGCACCAAATTCTAGCATAAAGCTCTATGGCTGTGTAAATGATTCGTAGACAACTTCAATTGGTTAATTTTATATTAATAGTAACTGGTTTATTTCTGGTTTAATTCATAAGTACATACAGACTTGCATGATACTATTTCTATTATTAATGGTTAATATGGGGTAATGTGATACGTTAATTTCTTATGGGTAAACTGATACAATTCCTATGGGTAATTTGATACTAATAATTTTGCAATCTCAATTTCTCATTTGAGGCAATGTGAGACTTGCGATTCACTCTTGTGCAGAACAACCCTGTGTTACAAAAATATTAAATGGGCGTTACGCGGGCTCTGGTCCGTGGCTACCTTTATACTGCAGAGCGGACGGAAAAGCACCCGTGTATGCTAACTAATACATTCCATTTTCCAACTAAAAATAAATCTATTTGCAAGTTATGCAAGTTATGTAAGTTACATAAATCATTGTTTGTTCAACATTGTAACAAATACATGCATACATAAATTACTACCATTTTACCTGTTTAGCAAACTGCAAAACTGGACAACTCAATCTACATAAGATGAGTTTGGAAGATGTGAAAGTGATGCAGCGTAACATACCTGCCATCACTTCCGCATATACATTGATTTGCATGCTTCTACTGAAATACCTATGTAAATTGCGCTAAATCTGCATCTTAAATGCAGACTGACAAAACAATGCAATCTACACATTCCAACTCCAAATACATTAATATTCCTACATATTAGGAATCTGAACACTCTACACTTCGGAGGCCCACCGGGGCCAAGGATTCGCCAAACTGGCCATCAAATTAGCGGCGAAAGAAGTCCTTAAATCCGGCCTTTTTCCCGCCTCTGCCATCGAAGCGTGGAACACGCCTTCGCTCAAGACGCATGCGCAGCTTGGCTTCAAAAATGCCGGCTTGGTCCTCGCGATTATGTATGAACCGAGCAAGGAAAAATTGGCGGTGGTTAATCAGAAATGATTCATCATAAATATGTAAATGTGATGTAAATACACAAAAATAAATATCTAGAAATTTGCAAAAAATAATCAGAAAATTTGCAATGCTTAATCAATAATGATTGATCATGTATATGTAAAACTTGCAAAAATACATACGTATGTATGCCAATAATAATCACGCATATAATGACTTTGTCTCATTATTTTAGAAATTTTCCACTTCAATTTGACAAAGAGTTTCAATTCATCAAAAATTATTTGAACAACTACAAAAAATTAAGTAAATCTTAAGAAAAGTGTTCCATCAGAAGATTTTTTGAATAAAATAAACTTGGGCATCTAAGTTTTACCAAAATTTAATTGAAGCAGGGCATCTGGAATCGGTATATCTATCGTTACTGTTAAAAAACACGCATAAAATATGTACCACAGTGACATTGCAAAATTAACAACCAGAATCACATGCGGCATAATTTTGGCAACTTCAAGGTAAACTGGGTTCCATTCACCTCATAAAATTTTTCCAAACATACAAATGTAAAACCGGTCGACAAAAGTCTGTCACAATGACAATGCAATATTTTGCATATTCTTGGATACGACACCAATCAGAAAGTAACCCGTTCAAAATTCTGGCTAAAAAGTTTCCCAGAAATTTATTCAAGTAATTAAAAAGTGTTCAAAGTGATCCTGACAAATGGCTACCCCGGAAATTCCCCCCTTCGTCCAAGTACCCAGTGGGGACGGGCAGAGTGACGAAATTACCACAATTCTCACCATTTTAGAAAAAAGATTGCCTAAATCGTGTTTTGTAAGTGGTACATAAATTTTCGGAATTTTATAAACCTTGTAAATGTTCTAAATGCTTTTAATTTCCCAAACGTTATGAAATATATTTTTCTTAATTGTCTAAATTTACTAAATATTATTAAATTTATTTTTACAAATTTCCTACATTTTCTAAATTGTCTAAATATTCATAACTTTCTTTTCAAAATTTCCTTAATTGTCCAAATTTCCTTAAAATTTGAATTCTAATTTTCTAATTCAAATTTTCTAAATTTCAAACATTTTTTTCTCTTATCCACATGAATTTTTCCATCCCACAGATTTACAACGCTGTAAAAATGGCTCCTCGATTTCCTCATCATACGAAAATATTTTACATGAATCCGAAATCTTCCTGTGCTCGGACGGAAGTTCATTCACATTCTTGGATCGTTTTAACCCACATGACTGAAGTAATCAATTTACATGTTTACTTAATTAATTAAATACTTATCAACTGATAACCAGAGGGCGAGTTTATCAGAAAAATTTCAATATACTTTTACATATTGTCACATATTTCTTACGACATATATGTCGTAGCTTTTCGGAAATATAAACATCTATAAATATTTCCACTATTATTTGAAAAATACGGAAATCTTTTATATATATATTTTTTACTAAGCCAATTTTGTCAATATTACAAAGAAGTGAGACGATTTTTTTGTGCCAACTAAAATTGGACCACAAAAAATTCAGACCATTGCACAAATAATTTTAGAAGATACAATTTTTGCGAAAATTCTAACTTTTTACACATTTCGTAAATATTTTGGTATTTTTTTTACAAATATTAAATTCGATTTTCCGTAAATATTTATATATCCACCCTCCGCTGATAACCCTAACTTATCTCCATTTTAACGACAGGATCACGGCCAAAACATTCTAATCTCTTCGCCATCCTCGCTTAAATATTCGTCCCTCGAAAAGGCCGCGCTCGTCGAAACGTTCGCGTCATGCAGCGCTTTCAACTGGGAAGAGCCGCACTGGTTCATCGCCCTGGACGCCTACGTGGCCCGAATCATCACCAAGGTCAGCACAGAGGTCAAACGTCACAACATCGAAACCTACCCAGATACTTTAATGTACATGGAAAAAGATGATGACGCCATGGCGCAAAAATTGGAGGGTGAGCTGGACGAGGCGGCACGGTAATCATACATGTTCACATTCATTCATTTAATGATGAATGAATAAATTATTCATTCAATATTCAAAATTTGAATTAATATTGAATGAATATTTTATTCATTCATTTGTCGTTTGCACATTTGTCATATCCGGACTTACATATAGGTAATTTTATTTTTGAAATAATCCCAATTTTGTGGGGAATTTTTGTAATTAAAAAAATAGCTTTTATTAAAAAAAATAATTTTTTTATTAAAAAAATTGAAAATTTAATAACGTATGTTATGTTATCAAATGCTTTACAAAATCTCAATTTTTCTTACACCTTTTCTTACAGCTTTCTCCTTCAAGAACTTTTAAACGGGCAGAACTACGAATATTTTTAAAATAATTTTTATTTTTGTGTATATTTTTTACCAAAAAATCTCTACGGACGTATCCGCCAAATTGATAATACTTCTTAAATAAATGCTTGTCTTTCACGTGTCGAATATTGTAATTAATTTGCGAATTTTCCTTGCAGAAATTATCCTACCATTCAAATCAAACCGTTAGACGTCACCCACGGGACACAGTTTATTTCCTCCACGTGGAAATGCGCCACGCCAAAGACGCACCTGCCCGTGGCCAGATTTCTGCAGAATAACGTATCCGGTGGAGTTTACTTGGCCGGAAGTGAGGCGCTCCCCGTGAGTGGGATCCTCCTCCACGCGGACGGCCTGCTCAGCATGCTCCACACTTCGGAGGCCCACCGGGGGAAAGGATTCGCAAAATTCGCGATGAAATTAGCGACTAAAGAAATCCTCAAATCGGGGCTTTTTCCAGCGTCTTCCGTCGACCCGTGGAACACGCCCTCGCTCAAGACTCATGACCAGCTTGGGTTTAAAAACGCAGGCTTGGTCTTCTGGATTATGTATGAACTGAGCAAAGAAAAATTGGCGGTGCTAAATCAGCAATGATTTAATCGACAAAATATGCAGTAAATAAACATGCAAAAATATGTACGTACATTTGTAAAATATAATTGGAAAATTTACAGTCATGAATCAACAATATAAGCAAAAATAACTATGTACAAACACGTATGTAAAAACTAATCCGAAAATTTAAAAATATGTGCAAAAACATGTATGCAAAAAATGTACGTATATTTGCAAAAATATGGGGAAAATTGGCAGTCATTAATCAACAATATAAACAAAAATAAATATGTATGTACAAACACGTATGTCATATGTATGCAAAAAATTACCTGAAGATTTAAAACTATATGCAAAAATAAGTATTCAAAAATATATGTGCAAAAAATTATCGGAAAATGGGTACTCTTGAGTCAACAATATGTGCAGAAATAAGTACGTATGTTAGAAATAATCGGAAAATTACCACTTCCGATATAAAACCATGTGCAAAAATAACCATGCAAAAAATCATCATCGGACAATGACTTGTTCCTCCTCATCATTTAACAAATTTGTCACGTTTAATAAACAATACAATTTGTTAGGTGATTTGATTACCGTGAAGACGACGACGACGAATGAATCATGACACGTGCCCCACGTCAAATATCGACATTAATACTTATTCATTTTTTTAATAGTGAGTGCATCTGTTTGCCATCACGTACATACGTAAGCCAACCAGTGGCCGCGGAAGCTGTGGGGACATCGGGGGACATTGCCATTGTAGGATAAGGGAGGGAAGGGTTTGTATAACATGGGCAGATGATGGAGACGTCGAACAACCGTGGGGACATTGTCCCTCTGTCCACACCCACGCTTCCGCGGCCACTGATCGTCAATATCCACCGCACAAGGGAGACAACCAGTGGCCGCGGAAGTCGTGGGGACATCGGGGGATATTAGCATTGTAGGATAGGGGAGGGAAGGGTTTATACACTCAAAATAAGATAGTAATGAATCATTACCATGCGGAATGACTATGTGTCTCTACCACGTCGGTAACGATTTGTCGTAGAAATGGTAACGATAAGTTCAAATTTAATACATAATGGTATTCACTTCCTTAATATTTGGTAATGAACTTGAATTTCCCTGAAATTATTATTACCATTTCTACGACAAATTGTAACCAACGTGGTAGAGACACACAGTCATTCCACATGGTAATGATTCATTACTACTTTATTTTGAACGTAGAAGATGGGCACACTCTTAGAAACCTGGTTTTAAATCATTACCGACCGGAGTACATATATGACTCTACCGGCACTGGTATTAACGAGAATTACCGTTCGTAATGTGGTGGTAATGAACAATTTACCACTTAGAAGCAATTTACTACCAATCCGGTAGGAAATTATTACCAAATCAATACCAGCACGTGACTCTACCAGATTTTTAACAGTGCAGATTATGCTGACATCGAACCACCTTGGGGACATTTTCCCTCTGTCCCCTCCAACGCTTCCGCGGCCACTCGTCATGAAATTGCAGGGGTGGTGGCTGACAGTGGCCGCGGAAGCTGCGGGGACATTTGGGGACATTAACATTGTATGATGGGGGGAGGGAGGGGTTTTTATAAGATGGGCAGATGATGGGGACATCGAATAACCGTGTGGACATTGCTTTTTTGTCCCCACCCTTCCGCGGCCACTGAATCCAACCCTATGCGTAGCATAGCACATACCAAATTAGGACTGATTGGCACATTATGGCTACTATGTACCTATCTACATTTCGCGATAATATTAATATTCGCAATCATCGTGAATATCATCCAACTGTCTTCTTGATCATCTTCTTCTCTTCCCCGTAACCGGTTCCTTCACCTTTATTACGAATGTAATCCGTGCAAAAAACAATACATCCTTAATGTCGGGTAATAATCATCATCAAACAAAAACTTTGTTTCGTCTCCCATCCTATTTGACATATGCGAAATTTTTGCAAAAATCTGCAAAATTCTCAGACAATCCTCCCCTTACATATGCACATAAATTCATCTCTCCTCTTACATAATATCAATTTTTGCAAACAATCTGCAAATTCACAAACAATCTTCTCCACATATTCGTCTCTCTTTTACATACGAAATTTTTGCAAAAATCTGCAAATTCTCAAACAATCCTCCCCATACTTATATTCATCTCTCCTCTAACATAATATCAATTTTTGCAAAAATCTGCAAACTCTCAAACATACAGATTCTCTCCCCTTTTACAATACATATAAAATTTTTGCAAAAAATTTGCAAATCCTCCCCACATAACGGGACCTTTTATGACGCAGGCACGCATAATAAAGCACAATTAGCCGACAACTACCTATGCACATACACTCATATGCAAATACATACGCAAATAAAATGCAAATTAACCCTTTGCCCAGAAATCATCATCCTTCTCATGGGATTCCCACGAACTTGGTGGAAAAGCCATCGCAAAAAATGGCTACATTTCTCGGTAAGTGCACCACAAGGGGCACACACACAAACAATTTAATCAATCTGGGATCGCCAAACTTAGCAGGAAAAATTACTTGGATGGAGGAATGAACGGGTAAAATATGTATGCAAATTATGTACCACCACCACTACGCTCCGATCCGGATGTATAAAAGATCTTCAAAACCATCAAATCCGCATCAGTCGCCTGATAACGAACGATCTTATCTCAACTACTTCCTACTCTTAACCAATTCCGCAAAAATGAAGCCTGCCGTCGCTATTTTCGCCATTTTTCTTATCTTCGCCACCACGTGCCACGCCTCGTACGCGCCATACGTTCGCCCCGGTCACACGTGGGGTGGGTGGTCCGTCGCCACGCCGGTACAGCAACAGCCTCAACCAGTTGCATGCTTCTACCAAAATCGCTACTGTCAAGGTAAACATTTCAAATTCCTTGTGTATTTGGTAATAAAATTGTCACCGAAAAAATTCAACGTTGTCAGTACCACGCTGATATAAATTTCATGAAAGTTCATGACACATTATGAACAATTATTAGCAAACAAAATCGGTACCGTATATCCATGATAAATACTTAGTGTTACCTAAGTTTGTTAACGTATATATGTAAAAGTTGATGAATCGCTAAAATCAGCACATTTTTAATCTTTCCTCTGGGAATTTATTTTAAAATTTTAGACGACAAATTTGTAGTCAGTAAATTTATAAATGGAATAGCGTTGAGTTTTTTGAGCCAGTTTTGACGAGTTCTAATTTTTCTGAAGGCTTCGCAAACTTGAGATCTCCTCCTTCAAAAAGTGTCAAAATCTGGAGTGTATATTGTAAAAAAAATTAGCAACTTCCTGCTCTACAAATTTGTCATGCAAAATTAAAATATAAATTCTTGTGAATTTGTGTGAAAGACTGCTCCTTATTCGTGCACTACACTCCAACCTTCAGTTGATCTTGAAAATTCTTAATTTTCACTATTTCATAAATCGACTTTAAATCTCGGCATTAAAATCATCCAAACCAGCACGTTTTTATTAATTTCTTCCCTGTAGGAATTTATTTCTAGGAATTCACTAATCCATTTCTTACAATGGAGGTCTCCCAACGTATGCTCACAGATTTGGACCAAATTAGTGTCAATCGATCACAAATATAATTAGGATGAAATTTGCAACTGGAACTATCTGCCAATGCGCAGGTTTGGCGGAGATATTTGCATAAAAAGCAGAAAAAATGCGCAGGAAATTTGGAAAATGAAAAATATGCAAGCCTTTTGGTTCGTTTTCTCCTCTTTTCATGCAAATATCTCCGCCAAACCTGCGCATTGGGAGATAGTTCCATTTGCAAATTTCATACTAATTATATTTGTGATCGATTGACACTAATTTGGTCCAAATCTGTGAGCATACGTTGGGAGACCTCCATTGTCAGTCCATTTAATCCAGTGAGTTGATTAATGGAATGGCGTCGAGTTTTTTGAGCCAGTTTCGACGAGTTCCAATTTTTCTGAAGGCTTCCTAAACTTGAGATCTACTCCTTCAAAAAGGGTCAAAATCTGGAGTGTACATTTTACAAAAATTGACAACTCCCTGCTCTACAAATTTGTCTTTCAGAATTTTATAATAAATTCCCGTCAAATTATTAAAAATGGGCTAATTTTATCAATGAATCATCGAGTGCTAAATTGTCAATAATCTTTCTGTGCACAATTATTGTTACCATTCAGTGACAAAAAAATCGGTGTCAACTTTACCATAATTTTCTTGCATATAGGATCCCGCTACACCGTTCCGATCGGTCGTGGCGAGTGTCAAACCCTTCCCAGAGAACTTTGCGACTGGAACTTGTCCCTGGAAACGGGCAATTCCTGCATCCAAGTCTTTTCCAGTGACAACTGTTCGGAAACGTCGACCTTTCGAAAGTGGGGGCTCGCCTCGTCCGCCATTTTCCGAGCGAATCAGTGCACCTCCACCAAACTCAATGGCTTCGATGTCGTCCGATCTTTCAGGAGGTGTGCCTGCTAAAAATGAAATACAAAATTTTAAACTTTATTTATCCTCAGTTTATATTTATTAGAAATAAAACAAAACAATTTTTAGGAAACTTTACTTTTTATTTAGCATTTCATACTCGAATTGTTTATGAAACCGGCCAAAAATATGCTGTTAAAAAAATGTATACAATTGTAAAAATGAAAACTTTCGTTTATATTCATAAATTAATTCACAAGGGGGCTCGGAAACGGGGAACTTATCCACTGGACCAAACACATTTTATGATTTCTTACTTTTTATGTCTATTTAGAAATTTCATTTTTTCCAAAATAGATGAATTAAAAGTTATAAATGCATCCTATTGAATTGTTAAAAGTTAATTAATTCAATTTAATTATATTTAAATGAGTTAAGCGACGAATGGAGTATTTTGGAAAAGTTAAAATTATTTAAAAACTATCGCAGATGGTCAACGCGTGAGCTGTTTGTATCATTTCCGAAACATATTTTATGATTTTTTTCATGTTTATTCAGAAATTTCATTTTTTCCAAAATAGATTAATAAAAATTTATAAATACATCTTATTTATTTTTTTCTTAATTTGATTAATTTACTTATTCTTGAATGAGTTAAAAGACGAACAAATTCTTTTGAAAAAGTAATAATTTTCTGGAAACAATTGCAGATGATAATGTCGTATGATTGAATTTCAAATATTTCTGAACTAATTTTATGATTTATTTTGTACGCAATTTTATCCTCATTCGTATTTACAAAGTTAAATTTTTCTCGGGTAATCATCTTTCTTGGACAAACAAACAGTTGAAAATTTTTTATATTATATTTTTATTTCTTAAAAATCTTTGGTTCGTGAGCATATCCAAATTCAAGAAATTTTCAGGAAATTTTCGGTTTTATTTGTCATTTCAAACGTAAATTGTTCGTGAACCTGGTCAAAAATCCTGATCATTCACGTCACGGGTTAATATTCGTTAAAAATAAAAACAAAATTTGAAAAATATGTATCTATATAAGTGCAAAAATTGGAATTTCATTTCGCACGAATTGCTTATGAAACTGTGCAAAAATGTGCTACAAAATTCATTCTCATTTACACATTTTTGTTAAATAAAACAAAATTCAAGAAATTTTGAAGAAATCTTGGAAACTTTCGTTTTCATTATCTGTCGTCATTTCATACGCGAATTTGTCATGAAACTGCTCATGAATGTGGTACAAAAAATTCTTCTTATTTACAAATGCTGGTAACGTTTTAATATCTTTTTAAGAGATACAAATTAAAATTAAGAAACTTTCAAAAAATCTTGGAAACTTTCGTTTTTATTTGTAATTTCATATCAAAAAACAACAATCAATCAAAAGTTCACGTAACTTCACCAAAATATGGTATACAAACAAATCCCGCATTTGAATCATACCTGTTCACCTTCATTCATTTGAGTGATTATGATGGTGAGTGATAGTGAATGAAAATGAATTCCCTATGGTTTGAATGAAAATGATTGAAGATTCCGTCATTTCAGATGAGTGACTATGAATGAAAGGATTTTTCACTCATTTAATTTCTCACCCTATGCTTAATACATGGAGCGGAGTAAGAAATGAAGTCGGATGAAGTGAAATGAAATGAATTTGAACGGAAATGACTGAATGTGAATGAAAATCTTCAGTCAGAAATCGGGATTGCTGAACTTTGAATGAAAACTGAATTTTTGAACAGGTATGATTTGAATATGCTCAATTTTTAAGAAATAAAAACGAAATGTAAGAAATTTTCAAATGTTTGTTTGTACGAGAAAATGACTATCAAAGAAGAATTGAACTTTGTATTGTAAATACGAATGAAGATAAAATTGCGTAGAAAATAAGTTATAAAATAATAAAATATGTTCTGAAATAGAAAATAAGTCATAAAATAATAAAATATGTTCGGAAATATTTGAAATTCAGACTGATTCATTATCTGACATTATTTCCAGAAAATTATTACTTTTTCCAAAACAAATTACTCGTCGTTTAACTCATTCAAGAATATTTAAATTAATTAAACTAATCAAATTTTAAAAAATAAATAAGATATATGTATAAATTTTTATTAATTTATTTTGGAAAAAAATTAAATTACTGAATAAACACGAAAAAAAATCAGCGTGGAGCTACCTGTTAGTATTTACAGCTAATTTTTTTTTCGAAATAATCCATTCGTCGTTTAATTCATTCAAAATAATTAAATTGAATTAATCAAATTTTGACAAATTAGTCTTCTTCATTTAATTTTTTTTATTATTTAGGCAGAGAAAATTGAAATTTCTAAATAAACATACAAAGTAAGAAATTATAATTAAAATGTGTTCGAAAACGATTTGATTGGTCGCGTTACCATCCATCACTTGGCCCGGATCATAGCTCGCAGGGGACCATGGTCCCCGGGACCAATATGGGGGACCATTTGGTCACTGGTCTCTCGGGGACCAGGGGCCAGGGGCCAATTTTTTAGATGGTCCCCCGGGACCATGGACCATTTTTTCAGATGGTCCCCCGGGGACCAGGGACCAGGGACCATTTTTTAAGATGGTCCCTTGGGGACCAGGGACCATTTTTTCAGATGGTCCCCCAGGGAACAGGGACCAGGGACCATTTTTTCAGATGGTCCCCCAGGGAACAGGGACCAGGGACCATTTTTTTAGGTGGCCCCACGGGGACCAGGGACCAGGGACCATTTGAGGGACCATGGTCCCTGGTCCCCAAATGCGAGTTTAACATGGTGGTCCCTGGTCCCTCGGGGACCAGGGACCATTTTTTTAGATGGCCCCCGGGGACCAGGGGCCAGGGGCCATTTTTTCAGATGGTCCCCCGGGGACCAGGGACCAGGGACCATTTTTTTAGATTTAATCTTTAAAATTTAATCTTTTCCTCTTTACATCATTTCATAAATAAAGTTGGCGTTTTTTCAAAGTTAAAAGTGTGCATGAGCTTACTATTGATCTGTAATTTTTTCTCAATGATTTTCATTTTTTTCAAAATCCTTCATTCGTCGTTTAAGGTGGGCTTCGGTGAGTCATTCCCGCGCGTCTTATTCCACCCCATATGTCATGTTTCCTTATGGAGAACTTAAAATTAACTTTAAGGCGTTAATATTCAATGGAATTTAAATGTTATTACCTTAAAATATTCTATATTTTTAACTTAACAAAACTGTAGCTTAGATTTTTGGAAAAAAATTTCCTTCCTGTGAGGGGCAATAAAATATTGAGGAAGGAATATGTTTTCCAAAAATCTAAGCTACAGTTGTGTTAAGTTAAAAATATAGAATATTTTAAGGTAATAACATTTAAATTCCATTGAATATTAACGCCTTAAAGTTAATTTTAAGTTTTCCACAAGCAGACATGACACATGGGGCGGAATAAGACGCGCGGGAATGACTCACCGAAGCTCATCTTAAACTTGCAAAAATTACTATCGATCTGTAACTGTTTCTTAATTTTTTCATTTTTTTCATTTTTTTCATTTTTTTCAAAATCCTTCATTTATCGTTTAACCTTGCAAAAATAATTTAATTTAATTTACATACATATTTATCTCGAAAGTAAGCCCACAAATTTTTGAATAATCAGGATTACAAAATTTTATATATTTTCATCTTATTTCAAACTTAAAAATTTCCTAAAATGTTATTTCTGTCATTTTTCCAAAAATTAATCTTTTCATCTTTTCATTTTCATTTTCATTTTGTAAATAAAATTCGGCGTTTTTCTCTCAAAATTACAAATGTGTAAATTATATAATCTGTTTAAAAATGCTCGAGAAATGTGGAATTGTTTCCATTCATCTGTCCCTATTTTCATGTTATGAAACTTTTTGAAAAACTTCGTCATCGTTTCGTCATCGTTTGAAAAACTTGGTCATCGTTCTTCTCTCGCGTAAAGTATAATTACATTCATTAATTTTTTATTTATTCTTTGTTTCAAATACCTAAATCTAAAAAATTAAGGGCAATTAATAAACTTTGAGGAATTTTGAATTTTTATAGTTTATAAATAGCTTTATAAAGCTATTGTTTCAAAAAATTAAGAAATGAAAAATTCAAAAAATTATCTATAGATAACAAATAAACTTTAAAAAGTTAAGCATCAAAACTGTGTTCGAAAACTGATTTGAAATAAAAACATATAGATTTGTAAACATAAAGATTTATAAATTTATAAAGCTTTTTTGTTATTCAGTCTTTTGTATTAATTTTGTTATTCAGTCAGTCTTTTTGTTATTCAGTTATTTGAAAAATTGAAATTTCTAAATAAATATGAGAATAAAAAGAAATAATCATAAAATGTGTTCGGAAATTATCTTAAATACATATGTCCTTACATTTTATCTGCTAATGTTTCCAGAGGATTATTTGTTTCAAAATACTCTATTCGTCGTTTAACCCATTCAAAAATAATTAAACTGAATCAATCAAACTTAATAATAAAGACAAATTAAAAATTTGTTATCAATCCATCTGCGAATAATTGAAATTTCTTTTTTAAAAGTTGAATTTTCGCAAACTAGTTACTTGATAAAAATTGAAATTTCTACATAAATTTGAGGATAAAAAGAAAGAAGTCATAAAATTTGTACTTAAAGCTTGTTTCCTACTCATCTAACATTTGATCTAAATTACTATTTCTTCTTTAAAAATACTTTATCCGTCAGTTAACTCATGCCAAAATAATTACATTTTATTTCTGTGATCCCAGATACTAGTGTGATCATATCCAGTAGCAATCTCAACTTTTTTACACGACATAAATCATAAATTGTGCTTGGAAATTATTTCAAATTATTACCGGTTCCTATCCTATCTGCCATCGTTTAGATGTTTTTCAAAATATCAAGGGAAATTAATAAAGCTTTGATTAATTTCCTCACCCGGGAAAAATTTAACTTTTTAATTACGTATGCAAAATAATTGCACAAGAAATAAATTATGAAACGTTTTCTGAACTACTGTTCAGCAGATATTAATAGTCTCAATTCCTTGGAAATTTTTCTGAGAGGTTATTTGGCTTTTTGAAAATAATATCAATTATCTGCCAGGAAACCTCTC